ATATATGCAATCTTTCTATAATCATAATCTTCTATAACAACTGCTTGTTATATATAGTGCCTGCACTTTACAATTGAGTCTCCTTCTGAGAATTTCTATTTCTATTATTGTACTACACTTGAATTTAATCACAAGGTTTTGCATTCAATTACAGGCTCCTTATTAGATTACAAAAACTAAAATCTTTCAATTTTGTCTCTAGCTAAACTTGAACTATTGACTTTGATTGTAAAAGGTATGAAAGCTTAACTGCTAAACTATGGAACCCACATCTTATTTAATATGTTTTCTATAATTGTTCATATAATTATTTATTAATATTAAAAAAAATATCAATAATAACTTGAGAAGCAGTTTTATATAATATATTAGAGTTTTAAACTATTAATATAAATGACTTTGGAATAAGTTCTTTAAGAGTAAGATTAAAATAAAATATATTAAATAAAATGTATAGAGAATTGAGAACTAAATAATAAAGGCTTTATAAATTAAATCATTTTTTTTGATAAGTATTAAGATCAAGTAATTTGTTAAAAACAATTTAGTTAATAAATATTTAAATAATTTAGTTAAGCAAAAGTACATTAGTACAAGTATATTAATAGAAATGAAAGTTAGGTTACAATAAAAACAGTTAGTATTTGAGTATTAGTTTGAATAAATAGTATAAAATAATTAGTATGTTAATAATTATAGCAATTTTATTTAGTTAATAAATATTATATATATCATAAAAACTATTTTAACATTGATTTTTAATATAAAATATTGAATTATTTCAGAACTAACTTGAAAATTTATATTAAGAATTAATGCTAAAATAGTTTATATGATATATATAGTACACACTAAATTTTTTGAAAGTTCTTAAATAAAATTATAATTATATAATCTTATTAAATATAAATCTATTATATAATTTAAAAAAATTTCTACTATTTTAAAATATTTTTTTAGAAAATTTATATAACTTAATCTACTTTGAAGTATAGACTACAGACATATGCAATTACATAATAGACATATAAAATACAATTAATTTTTATCAAATTCATATAATTTGTGCAGCATTTGTGTGAGCATTTGTAAACAAATAATAAAAGCATATTTAATATAATTGTTATCATTAATAATTATCACAATTACCATTTATGCACCATAATTATATCACACAATTACCTATAATTACTGAATGATAATTGTTACATCGTATTAATATTAGATATTTAATTAAATTGTTTTTAACGTTAATATTATAATTTTTACTGTCCAATTTCAACGATGGGAAAAGCAAAGATAACAGCTTTAGAATGTATTAATTCCAATAATTATATAAAAGACTTCTATGTATCAAATAATTAAATGTTTTGTGTCGCTTGTAAAAATGTTGTAAATCATACTAAAAAATTCATAATTGATAACCATCTTAATTCCACATCACATAAAAAAAGAAAAATATGAAATTATCTTCGAATAAACAAACTATTGTAAAGAAACAAGATATCAATTTGGCATTAGCTAAAGTATTTGTGAAAGCTAATATTCCACTTGAAAAAATTAATAAATTGCAGAAGTTCTTTAAAGAATATTGCACCGAAAGTGAGTTAATCATTATATAATAATAATATTTATTATTATATTAAAATTTAATTAATATGTATAATGGCATATAATTTTTAATTATAGGCAATAAAATAGTCTGTGCAAATCAATTGCATGAGCATTATCTTCTGCAAATTTTTCAAAATAAAGTAGATGAATTAAAAAATAATCTAATTGATCAACCTATCTCAATTACAATCGATAAGACTACTGATACTTGTGGTCATAGTGTTGTAAATATTTTATTCAGTTTTCAAGATCAAACTAAGTTGATGAAAACTGAATATTTAGATAGTGTTAATTATTTTACAATTTCACAATTAGTTTTATCAGTTTTAGATTTTTATAATATTTTTTTTTCTAAAGTTATTCTATTTATTAATAATAATGCCATGTATATGAAAAAAGCCTATTCAGATACGTTAGTTCATTTAATGCCTCAACTTAAGCATAATTGTTGTTTTGCCTATATTTTAAGTTTAGTTAGAGATTGTTGGATATATTTTGATAATTTTAAGCTTCTAGTATGTGTAACTTCAAATATCAAAGATGCATTTGCTTATTCACCTAGTCATAAAAGAAGATAGTTAAAATTTCTTTCTTTAAATGTTGTTTTATCGAATTCTTTTAATTTATCATCTTTAGAATTTGTTGAACTTAATTTACAATTATCTTCTTTATTTGTGAAAACTCGTTGGAATAGCTGTTTAAGTTTGTGATTTGGATAAAACCATATTTTTCATATTTAATTCAATTTTTTATTACAGAAAATATACTTGGTGATCTTCCAAAATCAGTTAAAAAATTAGCTAAAATTTTATCGAATAATGAAAATATTTCAATAATCAAAATAATTATTGAATTTATTGCTTTGAATGCTCAATGGTAAGAAAATAAATTAAATATGTATATGTATTAAATATCAGATATATTTTATTTGAATATATAATATATATGTAATTACTAAATAAGCTATTTTTATTTATTAAACTTATTCAAGATTTAGAATTTTTTAAGATACGCAATAAATCTGTAGCACCTTATGTTTTTTCACAAATTAATTATACTCATACACTTCTACAAGTAGGCATTGACAATCCTTCATTTAATGCAGATATGTTAAACAAGATTCAAAAAAAGAATTTAAATTTAATCTTTTTCAAGTTGATTTTTTCACAAACCTTTAAACTATCATTTAATAAATTTATAAAACATATCGATAACCATTCTGCATTATTACTTTTTAAAGTCATACAATGCTTTGATCCTAAATTTGTTCGTTACTCAGCATCAAGACAAAATATTGAACATTATATGGTAATAAAGGATTTTAAGCTTTTAACTGATGATTTGTTAAATGAATGGAACATTTATTGTAAACTAGACGAAGAATTAGATGAAAATTTAAACTTGAATAAATATTGGAAAGAGAAGTCTAATAATTTGCCTTTTCTTTCAAAAATCACTTTATTTTACATATGGATACCTGTTACTGGTGTTGATGTAGAGAGAAGTTTTAATAATTATAAAAATATTCTAAGTGATAAAAGATATAACCTTTCAGAAAATTCTTTATCTATGTTAAATTTACTTTATTTCAATAGGGCTATCAATGAATAATCGATAACTGTAGTATTTTTTCATTAAATTCTTATAGGCTAAATTCATAATTATCATATTAATAACAATAAATACTGTATATATATGCACATGGTTCTTTGAATAAATATCACACAGTCTGAAATTATCACATCACACCAAAATGCATTTTAAATCACATAATCTGGAGTCTTTACTTTGAAGAGTGAAATATCATTCTAAGTAAACTTAAAATTTTTGTATGATATTTTAATAATATTAGTTGAATTTTTTAAATCTTACAGCTTTTATATAACTATTTATTTTGCAAAAATATATAAGTAAATAATTTAATAAAACCTTAAACTACAAAATTTAAACATTGAGTAATAAAAAGTTAAAAAAACAAATCAACAAAAGTAATATAGGTTTGCATTAATTTATAATTTTTTTTTATATACTTTATAAAAAAAAATCTTTAAAACTTAAAGCAAATATTATATATATATTTGTTATTACAATTTTTTAAAAAAAGATAAAAATATAAGAAACAAATATGAAAAATATCAAATTAAGACATGTATAAACTTTAAAAAATTTGTTGCACTATTAGAAAGTTGTTTGGGTTCTAAATTATATATATGAAAGTTTTTATACGTATTATAAGCTAGTTCGTCAATTACATATGACAATACATGAACGCACTCAAAAAATCTGTGCCGGGTTTTGTCGATCGTAAAACTTTTTAAAATTCATTAACGTTAGGATTAGCATTTAGTATAAAGTTAAAGGTTAAATAATTATATAGTAAAATTACTCAAGGAAACTTTTTTGTTACAGCACTAAAAGTGGTTTTTTATACTGGTTTTTGAGAAATGGGCGATTTTTAACAAAACGAACTTTGTTTTGAAATTTCCTGATCGTCAGGATAATAATCGACAAAACCTGGCACAGATTTTTTGAACATCGTGTAACGTTCATCTAATGATCTACATACTGCATTAATTGTATTATTGATATCTATATAACCCACTAATCCTAACTGCACCAAAAAGGTAACCCTAACTGGTGCCCTGTCCCCTTTTATAAAAAATCGGTTTATAAATAAAACAATTATCCCATAACTAGTATAACTAGTGACGTAAATAAGTCTGCATCTATACAGACATCTAGAAAGTCAACTTTTTACGTCACCTTTACATCATATAATATACGTCTATCAGTGTTGGCACCAATAGATGAATACGTAGAACAATAGAATAGAGCCATAGAGAATTTAGAATAGAATAAAATTTTTAAATAGAACAAAAAATTGCCAACAAGATTATAACTAAATAGAACAATAGAATAGAGCGATAGAAATTAGAATAGAAAATAATTTTTATCAATAGAACAAAATATTGACAACACTAGTCACCATATACGTCACAAACGTCACTGTTATATGTTATTTGATATTCTAATGTCTGCAACTTTAATCTATATTACCTACCTTTAACCAAAGGTGATTTCTGTGGTTTGCTGCGTTTAAGCAATGTTCTGCGAAAAACGGCAAATCATCCAGCCCACTAAAAAGTCTTGTTACTTAGGGCATTACATCGTGAAAATACTAAAACCACGATTTTGATATTTTTACTATAAATGTATCAAAAACGTAATTTTGAGCTTTGCTCCAGACAATTAATACGTATCAATATTTTTAATATTTCATTTATTTCAATGAAAATATATTTTATTTCGAATAAAAAAAAATTAACAAAAATAATAATAATAAACAAATTGAAAAATATTTATATTTGCATAATTGATCATATAATTTATTTATTTGTAGGAAGTTGAAGATTTAAACTTTTTTCAATTCTCTCATTCTGTATTGAAATTAGAACTTCAACGACTTTACTAATATTTCCCGAATATTTTTTCAAAAGTTCAATATTTTTTTCATCATCTTCCCAAAAGCCCATCGAATGAAGAATACTTAGCTTTTCACTCAAAGTTTCATCATCAAAAGTTTGATCATTCTGTTGTCCTTGACTCATAACCTTTTCACTCGAAGCTTCATCATTAGAAGTTTGATTACTCTGTTGTCCTTGACCCATGAAAGGGCAATTTGGATTATTAAAAATATCTTGACCTACACTTCGTAGCCATGGTTCGACATTTTGAGGAATAAATGATGAAAACTGACGTGAATAGTTATAATTTTGATTTTGTTGTTGAAATTGATTTAAATGGGATTTAAACCATTGATCCCACATATCAATATCGACAGGCATATTTTGTAAAATTTGATCCATAATATGATTGGCATGTTCAACAAGCTGAGGATTTTTATCCAATACAGGTCGTACCTGTTCAAGTAAAGTTTGAAATCGTTGAGCTAAATCGATAAAGGGTGCTCTAGTCTGTTCCTCATTTGGTTGTTGCTGATCACTTGAACTAGTTTCGTTAGATTCGAAGGGAGTATCTTCTTCAACAGCTCTCTGCTTACCTTTTGAGATTGAAGGAGTGGTTGAAATAAAAATTGAATCTACAGATTCATCTATTACCATTGTGCGTCGAGATGATGGCTCAGAATCAACAATCGAAGTTTGATCTATTACCATTGTGTGTCGAGATGATGGCTCAGAATCAACAATCGAAGTTTGGGAAATAATGTTAACATTATTAGATTGTTGAGATTGTTGAGGATGATGAGGAACGATAGAGAATCTCAAAGTAGTATTTGATTGATGATTGGATAAGAGATCAACGATTTCCAAGTCAGTCGACAAAGTAATAACATCACCGTCTTCGTCAGTATATGAAAGAGAAAAAGGTAAAGTAGGCGGTAAGGAAAATAAAGTGCGAAGGTTAGATTCAAGTTCAGTCCAAGTAGTTGTTTCAGCAATAGAGAAACGGCGTACGGTCGACTGGTATGTCACTTTGATAACTGGCATTCTTTTTTAAATTAGGGGTTTTTTTTTTTTGTAGATTTTGAATTCAGCAATTTTGAAAAATTTATAAATTTATTTGGGTAATGCCATCAATCCTATATATATAAAAAATTTCCAATTATATATAACGTAATAACTGCTTACGAATATCAATCACAAACTTACGTATATATATACGTATGTGAATACGTTTTATGTAACACGCAATATGCTAAATTTCTCGAAACAGAATTCGTACAAGATTTGCGTAAAGCATTAGTAAACGTAATTGAATAAAAACGTTACGTAGCAGTATACATAAGCTTACATATGTAATTGCGAATTTCTAGAAGACTATAAGATAGTGTTTGGAACCGGTTTTATTTTTCTTATGTTAAAACCGATTTTAATTGGATTTAACATGTGAAAAATAAAACCGGTTCAAACACTGACTTTTTTTTGATCTGCAATCGTTTCATCGGATATATTACCTGATAAAAAAAAAAATCGAACTGAAAAAATTATGAACAACTGTCGACTACGTTTAAGCCGTCTTAGTATCACCCATAAAAAAATGTAGCTTACGTCAGAATTAATAATGACAACGATTAAGTGCCGTTTTTTAATAGCGAACATAATACAGAATAGAGGCTAATAAGAATCTTATTCTAAGAATGACCATTTCGGGTATTATAAAAATGAGTTGATAGTATACAAATATCCAATTATTATATTAGCAGTATCTTTAATAATAATTTGCCCAAATTTAACGTTAAAATTCCGCGATATTGTTCGGCTGCTAAGTGTTTAGTGCATAGTGATGTTAGGTTATTATTATGTGTTGTGCGTCAAATTAGAGATGCGTAACTTGCGTCAAATTAAAATAATAATTTATACATAACTATAAAGTAGAAAATATCAGATAATTCAAATAATAATACAAATTTTTCAATATAAGGGAGCGATGGGTATTCTGGAGCACCTAAGGATTGCTAATAGTAAAACTTTTTGAAAAAATTATATTTATTCACAAAAATTACATAAATAAAAATAGCATTCAATTCTCTAATAATAAAAAAAAAAAGCAAGTATTTTAAAAAAACCCAGGTGTACTGGGCTTTTAAAAATCGTCTAAAAATTGCTATGTTTTTTTTTAGGTTGAGGGTATTATGGCACACCGTGCAGTATTAAGATCTACATAATGCATGAATAACATTATTGATACTTTACATATTAAGGTATCAAAAACAGAACTTTATAGTAATATCATATTTACATAACTGATAAGATCTACGTTAACTAGCATTATCTTTTTTTTTGTAAATGCTAAGAACATTCTTTTTTTTTTCCATTTCAGCCTTTTTTTGAGTCTTTTTTTTTTCTCTATTAGCTCTCTTCTAAGTTGTTTCCTCTTTTCTTTGTTTTGCACTTTCTTCTTTGTTCTTTGCTGATTCGTCCATTTCTTTTAACATTTGTAGGGTTTTTTCATTAGTAAGAAGTCATGCGAATGGAAAAGTTTTTCTTTTTTTAGGTTGGTAGGATGTTGATTCGTTTTTTTGCATTGAAACTCAAAAGTAGAATACTTAAGAGTCAATTTTAAGAAACAGATATCAGGATTTTTGAAGGTCTCAAGTTCTTCTTTTAATATTATATTTTCTTTTTTTAAAGAATCAATTTCTATTTTTAATAATTCAGTTTCTCTTGTAATACTATCTTGAGAAAAAGAATATCTTAATTGAAAAGACAATATAGAGAAATTATGATTTGGTTGAAACGGTATAAAGGAATTATGATTTGGTTAAGACAGTATAGAGAAATGATTTGGTTAAGACAATATAGAGAAATAATGATTTGGTTAAAATGATATAGAAGATATAGAGGAATGATAAATTGGCAGAAATGATAATATATGAATCAGTTAAGATGTTGATATATGAATTAATAGAGATGATGTTATATAAATTAGTTGAAAATAAGATATGATATTTGAAGAAGGTTCTTGATTAATTTGTTGGAATAAAGATGAATAATTAATTCATTTTGTAGATAAAAAGAGATCAAGATGATTTGGACTAATGGTATTAGGATTGAGAGATCAAGTCTCCATAACTCTATAAGCATTAATAATTGCCTCAGAAATGTAAGTTTTTGTGAATGTTAATTCAAACATTTTAGCAAATATGTATTTTGTTACTAGTTCACCAGTTTCAAAATGAAGTTTGATACAAGAATTACTGTATTCAGTTTTAAGTTTAGTAAAAGGAAGCTCAGAAGGTTGAAGAATATGCATAGTATAAAGTAGGAATGCATATAACAGAATTCTGTTTTCATGACAAAAGTTAACACTTATATAATTAATATGACTTTTATGACTATTGAGTATTAGAAAAACTAGATAATAGGAGTGTGGTGACCTAGTGAAGTGGTCAGGTTGTCAACCCTTCAAGTGGTAGATTGGGTGTTCAAATCCTATCGATGGTGAAAATTTGGATAATCATCTATGTAATATTCATATTACAGCAACTGTTACT